CAAGGCTCTCTCAAGTCTCTCAATATCCTGGGGTTCGAAAGAATCGCCATCGATGAGTGCCGTTCAAACCACAATAAAAGTACATACAGTACATAGTAACTTGTAAGGCCCCCAATTTACATCACAAAGTAGGCGAAACTTCCAGGAATGTGCAGCTCTATAAAACTTCCAGTGAGATGTAAACAAGCAGGCTTGTGAAAACATCTCTTTTAATCCAACAGAAATACTGCTTTTGATTTCAGGACAGTTTTGCCCCATAAACGGAATTGACTTGTTAACACATCACGCTGGAAACTGCCTGCTGCACTACTGCCACTTAATTTGCTCGTACATCGTGTTCCCTTAGTCATTACAGCGTCACAGTGGTCATTCCAGTGACTGGTGAGCAGGAAGGGCAGCATCGTGCCGCAATTTGTGGGAACTCTCGCTGTGGGCCGTGGCGAGGGCAGAGGCTTGAGACGACACGTTTTCACAACGTTTCACGATTCTGTGCTTCAAATCACTCGAAATCGGCAACGTTTATCTGCAACGTCGATGAATTGATTTTGTCGCCCAGATTTAATAACCGATCTGAGAAACCAGGACTGCAGCTCCCCCTTAATTTCCTGTACTACAGCACAGCCATCACTTGGAGGGACACTACTCTTACAATATCGGGGCTCTCGTCAATAACGGGTTCGCCAAGAATCATTAAAAAGCCCCACGGAGGCTGGTTTCGAGGGAGAGGGCACCGCGTCTGCGTGCAATGCCATAAACACCAATCCAGATAACTGCAAAACGGGGCATGCCACACAGAACCTGCCATAAGAAAGGTTACTAAAGTGAGGAGACCCTTCGGCCCATCAAACCCATTTGGTAATTAGTAACTATTTAATCCCAGGATCTCTTCCAGCCACGTCTTGAAAAAACAACAGAATGCTGGCAGTAAACCACATAGCTGGATTGCTTGTTCCACACCCCCACCACCCTTTGTGTAAGGAAGTGCCCCCCCCCCCTTCTCGGTTCTAAAGGCACTTCCATGTAGCATTTGAAATGCTACAGTGATGTGGTACTTCAATAAAACAGCAGCCGTACTAAAAACACTGTGTGGTACCAAGGGCTGGTACTTGGCATGCAGATCACTCTTTTCACAGTGCCTTTACCCTCACGGGTGGCGTGTTTGAAGTGTAAATGCCTGTACTCATCCCCTTATTGAGGTGTTAAATATCTGAGCCCCGGGCACTTTCCCCGCGAATCCTAGGAAGACAGTATAGTCATTTTAAGTAAAGACAGCCCTCCGTGTAGCAACGGCTCCCTGTAAACAAGAGTATTCTGGCAGTCCCAGCGCTGCATTTACATCACCATTGTTATTCAGCGGCTAATGCTCAACTTCACGATTGACAATAAACAGAAGCCCCCCGTCACCCAGCGAGTACCGCCATTGAAAGCCCCAGCGCACAGAGCACACATCTCTTTTGGACCGAGAAGTCTCATCGTCGCCGACTCCCCCAGGCAGCACGTCTTGGAAATAGCATTCCCGCAATTTGCAAGAGTTTGGGGACGTTAAAAAAAAACCAAGGATGGCTCTGCAGAAGACCTGCCTCAGGCCGTTAAAACCCCAACAATGTAAAGAGAATGGGACACAGATCGAGGTTTTTGAGGCTTCGCGGCCGTGTTCCACAACGCGTGTAATGGCGCAACAGCTTCCTTGCAACACTCCCGAGCAATCCCTTTGTTTTGGGTTAAGATGTAATGTGCTAAGCACGGGCAGCCCCCCTACTACCCCGGGGACGGACGGTCTCCGTTCGTCCGCGCAGCACTCCAGTCAAAACTGACGCAACACCCGGGCAGGTTGCAGGACAGCCGACAGCTGGGCGAGCCGATCGGGGCTGGTTCTCCCTCAATGGAAAATCTCTGACAGCCTTGTACGGGCGTGCAACTGCCTTGCTCCTAGGGTTACCCCCATCCGCAACCCCAGTACCCCCCCAAAAAAAAGCCCCAAAGGCCTCGGTGAGGTGTCATGCATGTGCTAAAACGTACCCTGACAATAACATACCTTCTCTGTACAACGAAACAAGAGTCATCAGCGTACACCTGGCAAGCAGACACGCCAGAAAACGAGTATATTGTCTGTTACCCCGAATTATATCGAAAATAGAGATGCACTCAAGCCAGCACTGTCGCGCGTTAGCTACTGTCTCTCCTGTCCACGCAGTCACGTTCCACCAGACCCGTGAAGTGACCAGCTGGTGTTGCCTCGTTACCTCTGCCCGACCGTGGGGGAAAGTCATCACTACAGCCGAGTGGCCTGCAACATTAATGGCCATTTGTCTTGAGAGGGTAAACACAGGCGTAGTCTGATTTTGCCATTAAAAAGCAGTCAGCAGCAAGCGCATAGTGAATCGGTATTAAACCCACACACAGACCGGAATATTATCGGGAGATGCGCAGGAAATCTGGATGCTAGACCCGCGGAGCTGTAAGGCGAAGAGTGGAGCGTTTTGTAAATGAATGACAAACCATTGCACACTCACCAAAATCCAGGAATTGCTTCATGGACAGCGGAGAAGGCGAGAATTTCGAAAAGTGGTCAATGTGCTTCGGCACGTTGGCCAAAGCGGCGTTCTTCATCAGGAACCTGACAAACTTCATTGTGAAGACACGCAGGCTGCGACTTTCTGCTACTGCGAAAATAGCCGAGGTAGAAAAGCAGAGGCGATGCAACACCAATCAGCTGGATAAATCAAATCTTCCTCTTCCACAACTATCTCTTGATCTCTGGGGTTGCGGGCTGCAAGCGAACAGCAGATCTTTCTTCTCTCGACCAATGGCGGGCCGCCTTGCCCGCGTCACTGCGCCGCTCTGGCCAATGGGACGAGGCGGGGGGCGGGGCCAGTGGGATCCGCGTGTTTCTGGAGCTTGTCCAGTCACGGGGCGGGTGGTGTTGTTCTTGCACCAGGAGTTTGGTGGGGGTGGGCTTTTTTTCTTGGCACCGCCTCGAAATTGGTCTGTTTGCCTAAATCGGGGGTCGTGCTCTGCTGGCAGTCTGCGTGTTCCCTGACCTCATCCCTCGGAAAGTGTCGCGCACGCAGTAAAACCCGATAGCTGCCGGAGGATGTGGAAAACATGTCGAGCTCAAGTGTCCCTTGGGTACAACTAGAAAACGTAGCAACAGGTAAAAGTTCACAACAAGCTGAAAGGTAGAAAGGCGAAACGGCAAGTTTCGGTTGCCCAGCATTCTTGGGGTGTCACTGTGTTTCCACCGTCTCCTGCTTTTCAGCGTGGAAATGCGCTTGTACGTGTTACCCTTTGGGGTCACCCCACGCTGACGCAGCTCCCAGCTTGACCATATCAAAAGCGCTTTGATTCATGATTTCATCATGTCTGATCTGGCCACCCTGGACAATCTCTCATGTGCTAGAAAGAACGTGCAAATTCCGGGTCTTGTCTTTTAAAACTCCAGGCCTGTCCTGTACGCGAAATTGCCCTTGAGCCCGCTCGCTTGATATTTGCCTGGGGGTTTACTTCCTTTCCGCTGTGAAACGTGTATATTCAAACCTCTGTTATTCATTTGAAACACATATTGATAACGCACAGAGCAGGCGCTGGATTCATTACCTGCAGAACAAGAGTATTGACCGCTTACATCGCAGCAAGCCTGTTGAAGACGGTACTGCACAATCACACCATATTCCACCAAAACTGGCATTTATCCCAATTAAAGGGACGAGATGACAACCATCAACCATTAAAATTACTATCAATCATTTCGTTTTACAGAATTGTGTTTCAAAGTTGTAAAATACAGCCGTGCTTGCTAAATACACTAATGAAATTAGCCCCACTGATGAGATCTGCCGGACACCCTTCATTGG